GTCCCTCATTTCCTGCACTACTGTCTTCTTTTGTGTTTTATTATTATTTTTTGTAATAAAATGCTTAAATTCCCTTTTATTTCCTTTTGTGTGTGTTCTAAAGCTATTTTCTTTGTGGTTACCATGGTGATAGCATAGTTAGAACATTCTAATTTAAATTTATACCAGCTTAATGTCACACAGCTTAAAAACACACAAACTCTGCTCTTTTATGGCTCTGTTCTCACCCCTTTTGGTTGCTGGTGTCACAGAAATGCCTTTATACATCATGTGCCAAGAGGAGGCTGTGGGGGATGGGTAGCTGCTACAGTGCCAAAAGCTAAAATCAACCAAAGTTAACTGCAACTGATCATTCAAGCCTCCTCCTGACAGTTGCAGGTCTTCAGTAGATTCCAGAGTTCCAGAATAGTTAGATAAGACAGATTCTGTCAGTGCAATTGTTGTCTGGGTGGGGAGAGAGATTTCTGGTGCTTCCTGTGCCACCATCCTCCCAGAATCTCTGTGGTGTTTTCTTTTAGAAAAACTTCTTTCTGGGGCGCCTGAGTGGCTCAGTCGTTAAGCAGCTGCCTTTGGCTCAGGTCATGATCCCAGGGTCCTGGGATCGAGCCCCCCATCAGGCTCCCTGCTCAGCGGGGAGCCTACTTCTCCCTCTCCCACTCCCCCTGCTTGTGTTCCCTCTCTCGCTGTCTCTCTCTGTCAAATAAATAAATAAAATCTTTAAAAAAAAAAAAAAAAAAGAAGAACTTCTTTCTGAGGAGTGGGACCTAAAATAACTGAGGCCCTTATTGCTAAGGACATCTCTGATACAAGAGACCATTTTACATTCCCTTTTCAATAAAAATCTCCACCTAAAAAATAATTTCCAATCAGATCCCAAATCCATAATGTCACCAGTGTGCATGGTCACAATTAAAACTCATTCTGTTTTCTCCACCATCAGCAACAGCCCCACTGTTAGCATTTATCCTCTGGAAAATTAAGTTCTGTTGTGCTCATTTCATGCAAATTATCACTGGCAGAAGAGAGAGGAAGATTTCCAGATATAGAGACCCACAAGATAAAGAAGCCCAGAGTCGTTAGACAGAGGAGCCGATGTACAGGGTACGCCTGACTCACACTCACGGTTGCATAAGTAAGATTTCAAAATTAATATTACTCTGGAGACCTCAACCTAGGGTACAATGTTCCTGGCTGGAAAAGAAGAACTGTATCATTCTTTTTTTTTTTTTTTTTCAAATCTGTACCATTACTTGCCGTTGTATCTCCGCCTTCTTCTGCAGGAAACATTATTTCCTACTTCTGCACACCAAGTTTCTACCTTCAGATCTCTTTGGTTCAGTTGCTGAGAAGCCAGACCCTCTAGTGCCACTTGGGAGAAGCCATCCACTGGTGAGTTGTGGGTGCTTTTTCCATTACTTTATGAAGCACAGGCTCAAAGCATCCCAACACTGGAGATGCAGGGACTGGGAACACCCTGAAGGCTGCATAGCTCAGGACCTTGGGGGATGGTGTTGGGGGAGAAAAGGCTGGAGGGTGGTGTCTGCACCAGAAATGTTGGAGAGGCCCAGATGACAGTGCACAAGTGCAGAGCAGGGTGAGACCACCCCATGAGGCTCAGGTGAGAGGACAGTGCGCTGAAGAGAACAGTCACGAAAGTAAGGACACCCAGGCTTCTCTCACTCTGCCCCTCCCAGCCCCCAGCGGCTTTAAAGAGCTGGAACTTTCTATCCCCAATATTCCCCCTCCCCCCTTCATAGTCCATCTATGCGATGGTCCAAGCTCTGAACCAAAATTGGTCTCTTTCTTCAATTCAGAAGGCCCACGGGGGCTGAAGTGAGCAATCTGTTTTTCTGAGAGTCAGCTTTTAATTGATTCAGGATGTGTCCTGACGCTTGAAAGTGACACCTTGCAAAGTCTGCTGTGTCAGGAGCTAGGTGTGCTGGAGTGACTGGGGAGAAGTCGTGGAGGAGGAGGTGGCTGGTAGATGAGAAGCCGGCGCAGGTAAACAACAACGTGGAGAGAACACACGGTGGAAGTGGTCAGGGCGATTGGCCCCCTCGAGCCCTACCCTTTCCCCTGATCTGAATCACCAGAGGGTCTGGGCTGTGCATTTCTGACTGACAGACTTCCTGTGTGATACCGAAGCCCAGCATTTGAGAACTACTGATCCAGTCCACACTTTCCCATCCAGATGAGGAGGCCAGCCCTGTGGTTGGTTATAGAACAGCTCAGAGGGTGTGCTGCACTTAATGGGCTGTGTGCAAGGATCCCCAATATCTTAGTTTTTATACGGTCTCCCACTGGGTTGCCTGGGAGGCTAGTCCACAGTGGGGCATTGTGTTTCTCAGCAACTTGCAGCCTACTGGTTCTCTGTCATTCACTTACAGAAACGATATTTATTGAACAGACTCTAAGTGCAAGATCAGGCTCTGGGGCATCAAGATACTTCATTGCAAGACAAAGTTCTTGGCCCTTGTGGAGCTTATTTTCGTGTGTGTGTGTATGTGTGTGCACATGCGCACATGTGCACACTTCTGCATGCATAGGTGGAGCATTTTCATATTGGTGAATGTGTGGCTTTTAAGTCTAAATGCCAAAGAAGTTCAAGGCATGGAAGCATGCCTAGAAAATTGTTACCTATTCTATATCCATCTCTGCTCTCCCAGCCTGGAGACAGGAGCACCTGAGGTCTTTTGTAACGGAATAGCCTCGGGTTCAAAATCCAGCTCAGCTGTTACTTGTTTTGTAAATTTGGGAAAGTCATTTAACTTGTCCAGGCTGAAATTTTGAATTTCTTCACTTGTATAATGTATAAATACTTGCTCACAAAATTTTTGCAAATATTAAACTAATGCATGCAAAGTATTTAGCACAGCACCTGGAACTTAAGGAGCACTCAATTAATGATCATAGATGTAATTATTTAAGTGGATACATTTTTCCCCCACAGCTTGATTAGAAGTCTCACTTAGTTGCAGCAGATTTCCAAGAATCTGGCTTAATGAAATGAAAGATCTATGAGATGTATCAATCAGAAGAGAAATTGAAGAATAAGGTGTGTACAAAGATAAAAACCAATTCACAGTCACTACCAGGAAAGGAAAAAAAAAAAAAAAAGAATATTCTTGAGAATCAAGCCTAATGATGTTAGATGTTATACTCAGGATAAAGACTTTCATGCATTCCCCTAATGAACATTTATTGGTGCCTCCTTTAGCCGGATGCTATATCATAAGAGCTGGAAACAGAAACATGATTGGACTTCAAGGGGCACACAGTGTATTGGAGATCGTGTGATAAGGGCTTGTTTAGAGGCATGCATGGTGTTATGAGATGATTGGAGTGATTGATTAGAGGAGGCAGGTTTGGCTTCACAGAGAAGGGGAATTTGAACAAGAGGTACTGGCGGATGACTAGGAGCTCACCAGGCATTTTAGGCAGAGGGGCAAGCTTATGCAAAACCCCTGAAGCAGGTGAGTTTGCAGGAAAATGGACGGAAGACGGATGGGGTGGGAGCACAAGACCTGGGGTTTGAGAAGTGACTGGAGACGAAGCTGGGAAGACATGAGCGTAGAAAAGACTGACGAGTGGTCTGGGCATTGCCTTTGAGGTCCTGCCACATACAAGGTGTGGGACCACTGTGGTTTTCAGTGAGAAGTGCACGATCCCATTGCAGTGTTGGGGAAGACAGGCTGAAAAGGAACATGGTCAGGAATAAGCTGTGAGCAAGGCAAGACCACAGCAAAGATGGAAGTGGAGAGGGTCTAAGGCAAGACAGTGGCAGCCGACAGAGGTGCAGAGGGGCTGAACCCGGAGGTGTTTATGAGGTAGAATTCACATGACAATGATAATGACAGCAGCAGTAGAACTGAGTATGGCTCACGGTAGGTGCTCAGTGAATGCTGGTTAAATGGGTAAACCCACGGGGAGCTATGCAGGAGGCAATGGGAAATCCAACTCTGAGATGTAGGGGTTGAAAGGTGAGACTGGAAGGCAAAGCCTTGAGATGCATTGACATTCAGGGTGCCTAGAACCCTGCGATTAGACAGCACGACTCAGCAAGAACTTGGGGGCGAGAATAAAGAGGTAGCAGGTAAAGAGGTGGCAGCCAAGGATGGTGCCTGGGGGGTTCTCACGGGGTGGGCAGGGGAAGGAGACACTAATGAAGAAAATGAATGAGGCACAAGGCAGGCACTAACCTCCCAGAAGGCAAATGAGTTTTAAATGGAAGAACTTAGCAGAAGGATCCAATGCTCATCGAGGATGAAGCTGAAGCAGACCCAGGGCATTTAGTAGTTGGGTTGCCATGGCAAACTTGCCCAGGAAGCTTTGGCAGGGAGGTGGAGGCTGAGAGTTGAGAGTTAGTTAGAAGGCGTTCGGCTGCAAATAACAGAACGTGGAACTCACAGTAGCTTAAAAACAAGGGCTTATTTTTTTCAAATCACAAGACATCAGAGGATGAGCAGTCCAAGGCTGGGCTTACGACTTGGTGGCCCTGGGACTCGGCCTCGTTTTGCTCCGTTCTCTGAGTCTTTTGTTCAGGGTTCCAAACACCAAGCCCTCACAAGACAAGCTCCCGCAGCAGATGGGGCAGGCCCGGGTTTCTGCTGCATCTCTCCTGTAGGAGAAGAGCATTCCCAGAGGCCCCCTCACAGAATGTCGTTCCTCATTGTCCTCTGGGAATGGGTCACCGGCCCGTGTGCCCCCCGGAGAGGAGGTAGAGCAGCAAGTGTGCTGTGCGGGGAATTATACCATGCGAGTTGGGTTCTCCGGGAAGGCCTGGGGTGCTGAGAAATGGCTGGTGGGGAGACAGCTAGCGTCTGCTCCCAGGAGAAAAGGGAAGTGATCAGCCAACATGAGAGCTTTCCAGGACACGGCCGTGAAGCAGAGACAAAGCCCAGGCCGTCGCTGACATGGAGTGAGGATATTTTTAAGCTTGGGGATGGCAGCGGTTATGTGGCGTGTTATCATTTTGTTCTCTGATTACAGGACGGAGAAAGATGGGTGCCAATGGCACGTTTCCCCAGGTCAGCCACGACATCCTGTCCACATCGCATTCTCTGTTTACAACCAATATACAGGGCAGCGATGAAGAACCCACCACCATTTATGACTATGATTACAGCGAGCCCTGTCAGAAGACCAACGTGAGACAGATCGCGGCCAGGCTCCTGCCTCCGCTCTACTCGCTGGTGTTCATCTTCGGCTTCGTGGGCAACATGCTGGTCGTCCTCATCCTCATCAACTGCAAGAAGCTGAAGAGCATGACGGACATCTACCTGCTCAATTTGGCCATCTCCGACCTGCTCTTCCTTCTCACCATCCCGTTCTGGGCCCACTACGCGATACATGGGTGGTTCTTGGGGGAGGTGATGTGTAAGTCATTCACCGGGCTGTATCACATTGGGTATTTTGGTGGAAACTTCTTCACCATCCTCCTGACCATTGACAGGTACCTGGCGATCGTCCACGCCGTGTTTGCGTTAAAGGCCCGGACGGTCACCTTTGGGGTGTTGACAAGCGGGGTCACCTGGGTGGTGTCCGTGTTCCCCTCTCTCCCCGGGATCATCTTCGCGAGAGTGGAAAAGGAAGATTTTACGTCCTGCAGTTCTCACTTTCCAAAAACATGGATGAGTTTCCATACAATAATGAGGAGCATCTTGGGCCTGGTCCTGCCCCTGCTCGTCATGGTCATCTGCTATTCGGCCATCCTCAAGACCCTGCTCCGGTGCCGAAACGAAAAGAAGAGGCACAAGGCCGTGAGGCTCATTTTCGTGATCATCATTGTTTACTTTCTTTTCTGGGCTCCCAACAACATCGTGCTTCTCCTGAGCACCTTCCAGGAGTCCTTTAACATGAGCAACTGTCACAGCACCAGTCAGCTAGACCAGATCATGCAGGTGACGGAGACCCTTGGGATGACACACTGTTGTGTCAACCCCATCATCTACGCCTTCGTCGGGGAGAAGTTCAGAAGGTATCTCTCCACATTCTTCCGAAAGCACATCACCAAACACCTCTGCAAACAGTGTCCAGTCTTCTATGGGGAGACCGCGGATCGAGTGAGTTCCACATACACACCTTCCACGGGGGAGCAGGAGGTCTCGGTTGGCTTGTAAATGAGCAGCAGTTTGCTTCTTACTTTTAAGAGGGAACACCAATCTGTATGTGATAATAAAGCCTCAAGGGTCTGTTGCAGAAGGGAGGCCTGTGAGCCTCTGAGGCAATAACACGCTCAGGAACTTCAGGGTTGTGCACGCCAAGACAGATTTTTGTCCCTCCCTGCATGACCAAGGGGCGCTCAGGGGATAGTCTAGAACAACTGTGGGTAGAGACTGTGACTTCTCCAATGAGCTCCTCCCAGTTCCTGGAAAACGCCACACCTGGAAAATGCTTATGTGCTTCTCCCAGCCTTCACCTTCTCTTCACTGGCTCTGCAATGCTATCCCTTTAGTCAGGGGCCCAGCTGGAGGTGCGAGGGGGGCGAGTGGCCATGGGTTGATGGCGTGAGGGCGCGTGGGGTCAGGGTTGAGTGCCAGGAGGTGTGGGCATGGCTGAGCCTGGGTGAGGAGGATGGGAAGGGCTTCGTTGGTCCAGCCAGACAGCAGTGCCGCCCCCAGGCCCTGCCTCCCACCCATATTAACCTGGAAGGCCCCACCTGCTCAGGGAGAGCGTGGGAACCCCAAGAACCCTCCAAGAGCTTCGTTTGGGTCCGATCATCCTCTTCTGTGTAAGTACACGATGCATTTTTGCTTTGTTGCCATTTATCTATGACAACCACACAGCCTACTTTTGCAATCTATTAAATATCATGCCCCATTTTTCACATGCGTCATAAGCCCCATGCCCCTATGTAAAAATGTATGAAAGTGTTTGTTTATAAAATCTGTGTAGTCTATAATGAGATGAAAAATAAAAGCTCTAGTTTGGGCTGTGCAGGGAAAGGGGAGGTTTGCAGGTAGTGATGGGGAGAAGTTGTGAAGGCAGATGACTTCCTGCATCAGGAAGGCGGGAGCTGTAGCAAGAGTTCTGGAGGCTGTGTGAGCACACACCCCGCCACCCCACCCCCCGCAGCAATGTTTCCAGAATTGGCCAGGAGGAGAGGCCAGGAAGGATGCGTCTGAACCCGTAGAGGCCTCAGGTCTTTGGATCTGACTGTGTTTATCTTCTTGTTACCTGTCCCTGCTGCCCTGGCCCCATCTGCCCCCCCCACCCCCTGAGCTTTCATCACAACACTCTTGCCCGAAGGATTGCCCTGCCCCAGAGCCAGCTCGCGGAGGTCCAGAAGAGTAGCTTTGGGGAGTAGAAAACGGTGCAGCCAGAACCCCTCCGTGGGCCCGGGAGAGGGGGAAAAACCGGCGGGGGCCCTGGGGTGTGTCGCCGGGGCAGAGAAGGAGCCGGCAAAGATGACAGAGGCCCCCGCCTTGGAAGTCATCCCCTAGCCTGTGAATCTCGGGGTCTAACGGGCCAGATGGGGCAGACCTACACGAGGAAGGCTCTAGATGTGGTTGGGGTAAAATGTTTTCCAAACTACCTTCCAGCACCTCATTTTTGGATCCAGGCATAGAGTTCGCATACGTAAAAATAATAATAAAGTAAAAACAAAAGTAAAGCTGAAACTGTAACTTGCAAATGGGGCAGAGTATCATTTTAAGAGTTGCTATTATGTCAAGCCTGAAAATTCCGTATTAGTCCCAGAGAGAATTCTGGTTTTGAGCTTAGAGAGTTGGACCCTGTGGTATGTTTGGGAGACTACCAATTCAACATGAATAGTTGTTGATCAGGGAGTCCAGGGTCTGGTCTACGGGCTTACTAGCTCATGGTGATGTGGCGTCTAACTCATACCATTTGGATCAAAGCCCAACGCTGCACAGGTGGCATCTCGACCAGGTCTTTTTTCTCCTAGCCTTGTGGCCACAAATCCTTCTGTATCATTATGAAGTCTAGGAGGTCATGGGTTTGATCGTGTTCAAATGATTCTGTGCTCTGCCAATGTCATTCATGTTCAAACTGTCCAATTTGGAGTGGGAACTCCTAAACCACACTGACCGCCAATCAAACTTTTAAACCCAATTTGTAAAGGGGAGGAGTTGGCTCACTTACATCAGCAAAGACTCTTACCTTGGGTGAGCCAAGTTAAGAATGTATACATGGGTGACCCAGTGCATTTCTGATCTGACACAAGCAGGAAACACAGGGCTGCTGGAACCTGGCAGCTCGAGAGCTGTAAGCAACAATGGATTTCCGGTCCTGCTTCATGGCTAGAGAAGGTTTCAGAAAGAAGTGTGTGTGTTTGGGGTGGGGAGAGCAGGCTTTGCCTTCTGATATTTGTAGTATCCTCAGGAATGCATGAAATTTTGTTTGGATGATGAGATGTAAATATTGGGGTTTTTTTAAAGCTATGATTTGGGAAATGAGTTAATGCTCTAACTATACTGTTGTTTACAAAACTACCTGATTAGCGACTCCCCATTTTCTCCTACCCACCCCCCAACCCAGCCTCTGGCAACCACTATTGTACTCTTTACATCCATGATTCGGACTATTTTAGGTACCTCGTGTAAGTGGAATCATGTAGCATTTGTCCTTCTGTGACTGGTTTATTTCACCCAGCCTAATGTCTCAAGGCTCACCCATGTTGCTGCATATGGCAGGACGTCCTTCTGTGTAAGGGCAAATAAAATACTCCATTGCATGTATATGCCACATTTTCTTTATACCTTTATCAATGTGCATAAAATTTCAGTTATACAAGATGAGAAGTTCCACACATCTGCTTACAACATTGTACCTGTTGATACAATACTGTATTGTACATTTAAAAATCTGCTGGGAGGATAGATGTCCTGTTAAATGTTCTAACCATAATAATAATAATAATAATAAGCCTGCCTATTTTGTTATTCTGTGGTGTGGTGGGTTGTCTTACTGTTAACCACTTTTCACTCCTTCCCCTGTGTGATGACACATGCCTGTCCTTGCGGTGTGACTTATGACTTAGAGTGTGCCCTGCAGGCGTCCTCTTCTATCCACAGGAGGCTCAGCCACTAAAGAGTGAGCAGAAGTGCCATCTGCCTCATCCACACAGAGTGATAGAGGTGGCTGGGCTGAGACTCTGGCTCTCTCTGCTCAGCCATGGGAAGGTCCGTCCCAGGCCACAGCAGGTGTCGTGGCAAGCGAGCAAAAAGACACAGAGAGCAGAGCCAGAGCCCCAGCCACACACGGCAGCCACACGTCACGGGATCAAGAAGTCCACACTTGCTGCTTTAAACCACTGAACTGTGGGGGCTGTTTGCCAAAAAGCACAAAGGCTAATTGGTGCATATGGTACATAGTGGCTTCATAAATAAAATTTGGAAAAGTATCCATTTGTTATTCCATCAGGGAGTTCAATGCGGCCAACACCCCTGAGGATATACCATGTGCCCATCTGGGCCAGGCACATAAAGATGGGTGTGTTAATTCCCATGTTCTTAGACCCCTCTAAGTGCAGGGACTGGGGAGGGGGAGATGGGTAGAGAATGGGGTATTTGTAGATCACCAGGCACCGTGCAAAGCACTGAAGTAGAGGCATATGTGAAATGTTCTGAGAGCCCAGGGGAGAGAGTCACTAACTTACTGACAGCCCCACGTCACGGTAGTAATAGCTGTAGTAGGAATTTATTGCCACCAAAGAAACCGCTACTTAAAAGCTGCTGGCTATTTCCGTTCTAGAAGGGGGAACCCTGTCTCCTTTATCCCGAGAAAAACGTTTGAGTGGGCTGTTTGAGTCAAGCAGATGTCAGGGAAGATCCTCATTTCCAGGGATGGGTGTCTTAAGACTTCTGGTGGAGTTGGGGCCTTGGCAGAGCCCAGTCTGTGCCGCCCTCCACGATGCGTGACGCTCAAAGGCCCTGCTGTCTGCTGGGAGTGAGCCACCCAGACCCCATCCTTCTCTACTTTGCCTTCTCATTATTAGGATTCCCCTAACACATTGAAATGGCTTCAGGGTTGATTAGCCAGCAGCAGCAAGGGCCACCAAGGAGCACCGAGGGGAGGCTCGTCAGAGAGAAGAGGCCTCTGGGCTGGTGAGCTGACCTCTGTGAATTTAGGGGAGGGTTGGCCCTGGGATTGGCGAGGGACTGAGGTTGGAAATGTCTCGGGACATTGTCACTTCGACACCACGTCTGTGTTCTCACATCTCGGGACCTCCTTGCTGCCTCACCGCTATGCCCCGTCTGCACCATCTCCTCTCTCCAATCCCCACTTCTGCTCAGCTGGCCTGCTGCCCAGAGGATGCGCCACCGAGTAAGGAGGTGCCGGCCTCCCCTTCTGGCAAGCTCCCATTCCTCACGTAATTCTCTCAGACCCACTTGGCTTTGAGGAGAGGACCCCCTTTCACCTCCCCATCAAGCCCACCCATTTCTAGAACCCTTTCCTGCCCAAATCTGTCTCCTTACAGGACAGGGGTGCGAGGAGTCGACATGACAACCAGGGGCACAGAGCTGATTCTATCACTCTAGTAAGTCCCCAAGGAAGATGTGTGACCCCAGGTGTCAGTGGTTTTCCTTAGAACTGTAGGGTACTTAACACCTCTCTGCCCTCGGCCTTTGGCCATAACTGCCAGTTCTGGGGCAACAGGAAAAGTCCTGTATGATATCCTGTTTTGCATAGAGCTGAAGACAGAGGTGCAGGTGTTATCTGATCCGAAGTCACAGTGGGCCCTATTTATACTCCTTCATCAGTGCACTGCATTGCATTAGCTCTATGTCTGGGCACTGATTCGAAAGAAATACTCCAAATGCATAGAGCAGACTTCCCAGCTGAGTTAAAGGGTTTCCACCACATCTGGACATATCTAATAAGCGAGGAGGTAGACAGCCTGCAAGTGTCCACTTGGTTTCATGATTTGCACAGGGCATGGGGGATGTGGTGCAGGGGCTGGGAAGGGGGTCATTCTGGGAAGGACCTGGAGGACAGAGACATCAGGGGTTGAGAGGAGAGTGCAATGACCCCCAGCCCCACTCACCATGAAGTGGATCTGAGGCCAAAGGTGAAGCGGTGTGGGAGTCATGGGACCCTAGCCTCATTGCTAAGACACATAGGTGGCAGGGAGGGATTCTTCCTCTTTCCTTGAGGACCATGGGGATTCTCTGACTTTCTTGGTGAAGGTGGCTTTGGGGACATTGGGAGCGCCCTCCTTGGTGGGGATATCAGAGCACTGGCAGCCACACTGAGAACCAGCAGTCCATAATAGTGATCGATGGAAAGAGCCTGATGTCTAATAACAGAACTCTGGCAAATATGGTTATGGCATTATACTGAACAAAAGAAGCCAGACACAGAAGAGGATAGCGTCTATGATTCCATTTATATGAATTCAAGGGAGAGGCACCTGGTGATCCATGGTGACAGAAGTCAGGTGGCCCTTACCCCTGGGTGTGGCATGAGGGCACCTTCTGGGGTGATAGGATGATGCTCTACCATCTCGATTGGGGGGTGGATGGTTATGTGGGTATATGCATATCAAAACTTGACCAAGTTGTGCACCTAGGATTAGTGCACTTTGCTGCATTTAAATTATACTGCCATAAAAAGAAGAACGGAAGAAAGAAACCACCGTAAAAATGACAACGTAAGAATTATATACAGAGAACTTTTTAATAACATGGTGGAATGCCTATACTGTAATTTTTTTTTAAGATTTTGTTTATTTGAGAGACAGGGAGATGAGAGGAGGGGAAGAGCAGAGGGAGAGGGACAAGCCGACTCCCGCTGAATGCAGAGCCCAACGCGGAGCTCGATCCCAGGACCCCAAGATCACGACCTGAGCCGAAGGCAGGCACCCAACTGACTGAGCCACCCAAGCACCCCTATACTATAATCTTTAGCAAAAACAAACAAACAAACAAACAAACAAAGAGAGAAGCATATAGAACTGGTATACGTGTGGAAACAATTAATCAAAAAGTATACATGGGAAAAAGTCTGGATTGAAGCACATCCCATGTTCAGAAGTATTGTTTTGAGATCGTGAGAATGTCTGATTTTTTTTCCCACTTTCCATTTTTCTATTTTTCCTAATGCCATACAATGAGTGTGTATTGGTTTTATTAGACATTGGTTTTAAAAACTAAAAGTTGTTCACAGCCCATCCCGCTGTTGCCTGGCATTGACCTAGAGTCAGGCTGGAACTGTGTGTGTGTGTGTGTGTGTGTGTGTGTGTGTGTGTGTGTGTGAGCTGCTGTGTGGCAGGTGGCAGGAGCTCTGCTCATGCGGCTGACCCTCCAAACCCAAGGAGAGGAACCAACGTCTTCCCCAGCCCGTGGCAGATGCTCTGCATCCACAGTGCAGAGACGAGCGGGCAAAAGGAGTTGAGCCACCCATCCAGCGTGGATTCAACGTCTGGATGCTGAGCAGCTATTTCAACGTCTGGCCAGCTCCCCAAAAGGAGGGCGGGCGCAAGATGCCCTCCAATATGGGCATCGAGTCTAGAGTGACAAGCAGGTCAAAAGAGCACTTCTCATGGGTAGTCTGAACATCATCCCCAGGAGAACAAGAGCTCTGCAAACGGGGGCCAAAGAGAATCATGAAAGAGACCATGAAACTCAGTCACGGCATGACAGACTGAAATGTTTCCTTGATTCCAGGCTGAAGAAGTTCCCGTGGGTCCTCACTTCCTTGTAACTCCTTCGGCTGAGGCTCCATCCCGAGAGGTGACCTGAATCCCCCTCTGGACCCAGAAACCCCAAAAGGGGTGACAAACCCACTAAGCTGGGCTTCCATGTTCTAGGAATCCTCACCTGTTTCCCCTCCAAATGTGTATTGTCTAAACCAGGTTGGCCATAGAGTCATCCAGTATTGAATGGGGGAGCTGCCTTCGGGACCCCCGGGTCTAGCACATCACCCGACCGATGACGATAGGGAAGTTCAGAGGGGGGAAGTATCTTGCCAAGGACACACATTGGGGGTGGGGGGGTCAGCAGCACCATCTGGGACAGCAAACCTGCACCACTACTCCATACTGCCCTCTGGGGGCGAGCGCTCATCACATCCTCAGCCTCCTGGACAATGGACAGCAGAACCTCACAGGGCGAAGCCCCAGCTCCGGTGGTGAAAGTAAAAAGCCAGCCACGGTCACATACAGAAATGTAACATTTATCCAGCAGCGTCTGAGAATTCTACACACACACATACACACACACACACATTACCACCAGTGAACACAAGGCTGCTCTTCGGACGACCCAAACTATTGATGCCACCTATTTTCTGCAAAATTCTATATTGATTTATTTGCTACCCATTTTGTGAACCCATATTTTTGTGAAATATAAGGCCTTCTTTACATAGCCCACAGAGGGCCGATATCTGTGAAGAACACTACTCTTGTTATATCATTTGATCTTAACCACAGACCTATCGAATAGGTTTGTGATTTGGCTGGTTTTTTTTTTTTTTGCCCCCATTTTACAGATAAGAGAAACTAAGGCTTGGGGAGTTTCAAAAGCTCGTTTCAGAGCCAAGTGGCAAATGATGAAGCTTGGAACTTACCCCTGGAACATGTCTGCAGAGGCGGGTTCTTAATCAATTGTCACCTCCTAACTTGCACACATAGGATGAACTTGAAGATTTTTTTTTTTTCATGATTCACTGTCTTTGTTGTGATTACCAGTTGTTGGGTTCTGTTGTGACACAAGAGCATGACCCTGGCTGTGTGGTTATTGATTGCTGGGCTGTTTCTATGTGCTTTTCTGGCTGTCCCAACCATCGTCTCCTTCTAGTCTGTTCTCCAAGCACTGGTCCTTAGCTTCAGCCCTGCAGCTTCTAGGCCGCTGAGACTACTCTGCTCTAGACGAGGACCCCGGGAACCAATAAACTCTCCCTAGGAAAGGATCACGGAATGAGTAACTAGGAGTTTGATGTTTCCCAAGTGGATATAATGTGCTAAATTCTGGGTGTGGCTGCCTCTTGTGCCCCTCCCCACAAACCCATTATTCAGCCCATTGCACGGATGGGAAAGCTGAGGGTAGGGCGGGACTTGAAGCTCCGGCTGTCTGGCTGCGGAGGCCAAGTGCTTAGCCCTGTATGATGCTGCCTCCACAGGTTTGGGGTCTCGGCCCTTTCTTAGACCACAAGCCGGTGCTTCTGATTCTATAGTGGAGGAAGGGGAAGACCCCAGAGGGCGCTCTTGAGTCTCAGGGTGCTGTCTCCTGTGTTCTCTGCTCAGTAGTCAACAGTTGAGGTTTTTAGATAAGTAACCAACCACCAAAAAGACTCTCTGTGACTGCATGTCATACTGTCATATACTCCTGAACCTGACCCTATGAACCTGACCCTATGCTGTCAATCGTTGCTCATTTTATGTGGACAATTTCTCAGAGCTGCAGGATCACTGCTGATGAAATACCTGGCGCAGTGCAGGCACTCATGAACGCCTGACGGTTTGGAGGGCTGCAACATAGTAACTAGGGGGAGGAAATTCATAATGACAAGCCCCACAACATACCTGACCCCAAGGCAACGTGTTTAGCTCACAGGCAAAACTGCAAGTGAAGCCCTTTAGACAATCAGTTGTTTTCTTTTGCAGAGTACCGGGGGGTGAGGTATGGGTGTGAGCTGGGGTGGGCACAGGAACAGGGGGAACGCGGGAAAAGGGGACCATGGGGTTCATGGGAAGTATTCCTCTCTCATTTCAAGTTGGCTTCAGTGGCTTTGATTGAGGACAAATAGTAAGAGAATCAGAATCTCTCCTGTTTAGCCTCACCATTGATAAGCCCTGTGGTCTTGTACAAATAAATCATTGGCCTCTGAAGCAGCCATTTCTTTCGGCAAAATGAGGGATTTTGACTCAATCAATGTGAATGGTGTTCTAGTTCTAATATCCTTCAGTCCTATTTTCTAACAGATTCTAACAGATTTTGTTTTCTGCTCAGAAAACAAAAGACCTAAGTGTAATCAGGGAGACCCATGAATAAGCTCTCAGGCCAGACATCTAGTCTCCCGCCTATTTTAAGTTCAATTGAAAAAGAAGAAGAAGAAGAAGGAGAAGAAGAAGAACCGTTCTCTGATTTTTTTTTTTTTTTTGGGGGGCCAGGCAATATACTTATTCACTAAAACTCCGCCTCCCCCTCTCAGTAGAAACTGTGCATTTCCTACTTTTATGCTTCCTATATGTTTGATTTGCACAGCTCAGCTGGTCAGAGGAGCTGAGACATCCGTCCCCCTACGAGAACCCTCCTGGTAAGTCACCTTTCAGACATTTTGCCTGTTAGTTAGCTCTGTTTCTGTGATGAGTAAAAGGCTTACAGGAAACCCATTAGACAAACACCAGGTGCTCCTAGAACTATCTTGAAATATAATCTTTGAGAGAAAAAAAGAGAATTTAGAATGAGTTTCAGATTGTGATAACATCAAGGATACAAAACATGATTGTGAATGAAAGATTGTAAAGGGATCAATATTGAAAGAGAAAGAAAGAAAGAAAAAGAAAGAAAGAAAGAAAGGAAGGAAGGAAGGAAGAAAAAAGAAAGAAAGAAGCTTCACCTTTCAAAAGAAAGTTTTTCAAGAGAGATGATTCTTGGCCAAAATCTTGGCAGAGATTATCTTCTGGTAAGAACTGAAACCACCCCCCACCAGGATGGGATGCCCTCTGAATGTGTCTCCAAGCAGATGTTGTATCTAAGTGTGGCTCTTGTGTTTCTTTGTTTTTTCCCCCCATAAAAGAGGGAAGCTAAATGTTGTCCAAATTAATATCATAGTACAAATATCAAATTAAGTTTCCCTTTGATATATCAGTTCCACAGCACATTTAGTGTAATGATTCTTGTTCTGGCTCAGAAGTTAAGATGAAAGTTTCTGTATGCTCCTCCCAGCTGCCTAATCTGAGGTCCAGGGGGCTTGAGACCCACAGGGCTTAATTAAAGAAACTTCTCAATCAAGCAATGAACCTGAAATAGACCAGGCAAGCCAATGTGAGAGCAAATGTGATAATAGGGTCTGGATTTTACAGCTGGCTGCTGGCTCCTGTGACCTTCTCGGGGGACTCAGGCTTCAGCCCATTTCATTCTGACTATATCGAGGCGCCTGGCTGGCGATGCCATGTTCCAGTTCTCACCAAGAAGTGAGAGACCGGGGTAGCTGGTGGATAACAGCACAGACTGCCTGCCTTCGAAATCAGCTGCTTCCTAGCTATGTGTCTTGGAGCAAGTTACTCATCCTCTTTGTGCTTTGAGGTTCTCATCAGCAACATGGGGACCATAACATGACCTGACTCCTACAGTGATCTTGAGGATTAATCGAATGAATGAACGGGTGTGAAGCTCAGAACAGCGGCTGGCGCACAGAGTGCCCTGGGGGATGGTTAATGGTTACTAGCCCTCGGGGCAGGGCGGGAGGGGAGGGATGCGGCTCTGTGTAAGCTCAGCCCAGGGAACGGCAGCTGCAGCGCAGATTGTAAAACAGTGTTAGACCGCACCCGAGTCAGTTTCTTTGAAATTGTGACCAAAGCTGCATTCGCTCCACATGGCTACAGAGCACCAGATTTTATTGGGTCAGACGACGCTTTTGTGAATTTCCCCGAGAGTCACACTCAATCTAGCAAGCAGAGACGCTGGTGGTGATCCTTACCTTTCCTGCCAAAGTCCTTCGTTTGGCCACACAGGGGAACTCAGTGAAATGTAGAAATTGAGGCACCGATGTTGAAAGCCTATGGAGGTATGAGACAGTTTGTGCTTGTGATGGACCGCTCAGGACATTCCAGGGCTTTATAAAACATCACTTTTTCTTTCTCACAGGGTCGAGCAAAATGAATTACCAAACGTCGACTGCGTACTATGACATTGATTATGGGACGTCAGAGCCCTGTCAGAAGACCAACGTGAGACAGATCGCGGCCAGGCTCCTGCCTCCGCTCTACTCGCTGGTGTTCATCTTCGGCTTCGTGGGCAACATGCTGGTCGTCCTCATCCTCATCAACTGCAAAAGGCTGAAGAGCATGACGGACATCTACCTGCTCAATTTGGCCATCTCCGACCTGCTCTTCCTTCTCACCATCCCGTTCTGGGCCCACTACGCTGCAGACCAGTGGGTCTTTGGAAATAGGATGTGTCAGCTTTTGACAGGGCTCTATTATATAGGCTTTTTCACTGGCATCTTCTTCATCATCCTCCTGACCATCGACAGGTACCTGGCGATCGTCCACGCGGTGTTTGCCCTAAAGGCCCGGACAGTCACCTTTGGGGTGCTGACAAGCGGGGTCACCTGGGTGGTGGCCGTGTTCGCCTCTCTCCCCGGGATCATCTTCACCAGATCCCAAAAAGAGGGGTCTCGCTTTACTTGCAGCCCCCACTTCCCACCCAGTCAGTACCGTTTCTGGAAGAACTTCCTGACGTTGAAGATGAGCATCTTGGGCCTGGTCCTGCCCCTGCTCGTCATGGTCATCTGCTATTCGGCCATCCTCAAGACCCTGCTCCGGTGCCGAAACGAAAAGAAGAGGCACAAGGCCGTGAGGCTCATTTTTGTGATCATGATTGTTTACTTTCTTTTCTGGGCTCCCTACAACATCGTGCTTGTCCTGAGCACCTTCCAGGAGTCCTTCGGCCTGAACAATTGCAGCAGCTCCAATAGGCTAGACCAAGCCATGCAGGTGACGGAGACGCTTGGGATGACGCACTGTTGCGTCAACCCCGTCATCTATGCCTTCGTCGGGGAGAAGTTCAGAAACTACCTCTTGAAGTTTTTCCGAAAGCACATCGCCAGACGCTTCTGTAAACGCTGCCCAGTCTTCCTGGGAGATGTCTCCGAGAGAGCAAGCTCGGTTTACACTCGATCCACTGGGGAGCAGGAGATCTCTGTCGGCTTGTGACCTGGACTAGGTCTTTGTACACAGCCTGGGAGTGGGAGTGGTTCTTTTGAAAAGGAAGTCACTGTCCTAGAGGGTCTACGATTCATCCATCTGGCACCTCTTTTAAGTATATTAGATCATTTGAGGCCGTCACTTCCGGAGAGCCAAATCAATATACGCGGATGATATAACAACCTTCTCATCTCAGCTCCACGCACATCAACTTATTGGCACACTCTCCCTTCACTGCAGAAGTTCATTATTTAAAAAAAAGAATCCTCGGAGAACTGCTGATTCTTGAGTTTGGTTAACCTGAACGGGAATACCAAAATTAATCAATAAACATATTGTATAGTTTCTTAGCTGGAGACAACAAGGGCAGGTTGCAAATGTGCTTGAAGCAGGTCCTTGTCGTGATCGGTTCAGAAACTACGTCTTCCAAGTGTGGTTGGTAAGTTCCACAGATGTTCAGGACCAGGTGAGAACTGGGAGAGCTTCTTCAGTGAGAAGGGGATCCTCTGCTGGGAGAGGGGAGGGAGGCTGAGCTCCAGGCTGCAGACCCCACACCCGTGGAGTGGCTTGGCAGCTGTGGGAGGACTGGTGCTGGCTGGGGAAGGCAAGGTGAGCCTGAACCATGGAGAGCGTACACAGCACCATCTGTCAAAGTCAGAGCATGGACTGTCCAGGAACACATCCGGGTGAGGACTGATTACATAGTTAATGAACGCGCAGAGCTTTCTAAGCATTGAGTTAAGAGACCCCGGGGCAGGGAGGGAAGCCTGAATGAGTAAATTTCTGCCCTCCCGGGGCACACCACGGCTTAAACATTGTCTTCTGGATTCAACTCTCTGTAGGCAGAAGGCAGAAGGAACAGATTCATTTGGAAACAGGCTGCCCGCAGCTTGATCAGCCACAAAAAGCACGATTTACAGACCTTTGTGTTTCGGGCTGAGTGTGGTGGCTTTAGCCACTCCTTCCAGCTGCCTTCTACAGACACATCATCCCCAAACACTAAGGGATCTTTTCAGGAGAGAGTCATGACTTCATGTTCTGCAGTTGCTACTTTTATTATTCTGTACCTGCCTGAGATGGTTTTGAATCTGAGGAGTAGCTAAGACCATTCGGGAAAGATCAGGTGATGGAACGTAAAGAAGGGAGAGTCACTCGAGAGGGTAAGGTGTCACAATAGTAAGAGGTGCCACGGATTTTTCTCAAGCTCTGAAAGACGAGACTTGAGAGCATGGGCGGCAACAGGAAGCACCCAGAAATGCTCTGAAGGTTGTTACAAGGGCATCAGTAACCTATGACCCTAGCCTCTGAGTCAACTCAAAGACGTTCTGGTATCTTTGTGTATGTGTGTGTGTATATATATATATATATATATATATATATATATATCTCCTATATATGTGAGAATCTTACGTCAGTAGAAAGTTACAAATTGCTTGGAAGAAAATCCTTACCCAATAAAAACCGCCCTCTAAAATAATTGATTGTATTCTTGTTCTTTCAGTCAAGTGCCCATTTAGAGACTAGCATACGAGACTGCGAAAGCCCTTTGAAAGTAGCTGGTTTTGGAAAATTCCATACGTACACACCCTCACACACACACAGAGAATCACACTTCTTTTTAAATATTTGTAAAAGTTGCCCCCCTCCCTGGGTCAAATTGCCAGAATAATGTTTGAAAATGCGGTCTCTCAGGGTAGCGTTTCTGAGCAATGGACACTGGAAACCTTTAAACTTCTAATTTAATTCTACTACCAGAGCCAAAGACCTGACACATTTCTAAAACACAGAAAATCGATGTGTGTTTAAGCCCATGCCAGCTATCGGTGTTTGACAGTGGAGAAGGCCTAAGGTCACAGGTTGGTCATTTCTGTCATCCTAAGTTGCAGACACATGATGCATGAAGAAGGCTCCTCCTGAGGTTGCTTTTCTTTCATTTCAAATCCTTTCCAAACACTTGTCTATAACCGCAGTGGTGACAATGGTTGTGTCACTGACATTTGGATTTCTGGGCATGTGTCTCTTATCTGCAGAGAGGACAGGTGCTCCAGGAAGAGGTGACGGGTCCGGGTCACATCCACGGTTTGGGGCTGGCTGGTTTTCAGGTTCTCACCTTCCAGAGCAGGTCATCATCCTACCTGGAGGTCCGTGGAAGGAGCAGAAGATAAGGAGAGCCGGAACTGGCTTGTACGATGGCTTTTCCCTAACAGCCTGAAGGACCACCTTCCACCCGTGAGTCAAGAGGAGGCATGACCCAAGGAAGGGCAGAAGGGGGCTGAGTCTGAGCAGAGGAAGGGTCTAGGGCACCCTCCCATCATCCCCACACTCCTCACTTTGAGGGGCCCTCCACTGCCCAGCCCTCCTCTGCCCCATCCCTGAGACCGACAAACAGGTTTGGACTCATCGGGACCTTCGGGTTCTGACTCCACTCACCGTGTCCTGGTCGAAGGCATCCTACCCCCAGCCCGGAGGCCTCTGTCATGGAAGGGGTTACGTATGTGCCATGGATAAAGTCAAAGTAAAGTGAACGCCCTCAGCAAGGAGGGAAAATGTGAAAATTCATAAGTTAGGATTCTGCTCACACTTGTATTTCAAGGTTCTAGTTTAAACACCCACAACGTTAGGGATGCCCGGGTGGGGCTCAGTCGGTTAAGGATCTGCCTTCAACTCAGGGTCCTGGGATCAAGTTCCACGTTGGGTTCCTTGCTCAGCGGGGAGCCTGCTTCTCCCTCTGCCTGCCGCTCCCCCTGCTTGTGCTCTCTCTTTCTGACAAATAAATAAAATCTTTAAAAAAATAAAAAAAATAAACACCTGCAGCACAAGTAAAGTGCATTGGCCTTGCCACTGTTATCATGAAATCAAGTTATTTTTTCTGCATATGGTGCCGTATTTCCTATTTGCCTTCAGTCTTTTCTAGAAGCATCTTTACAAGTCTTACTTCTATTTGGCTCCATATTGTTACTACTTTAGTTTGATCATAAGTTCTGCATCATTGTGGTTCCATCCTGTGTCAGGAGCTTGGTTTTGTTTCTTTTTCTTATGGTTGGTACCCAGTTTTTTAAACACTTGATAATAAAGTCTTTTCAAACTGAAATCCAATGGGCGGGCCTTCAGAGCCAGTAGGAACCCTGGGCTACACTGCCTCCCTGTGGCCACTTTGGTAACCAACAAGGGCATCCCGGCTGCCGAGCCTGGACCCCAGAGCCTGGAGACCCCAGGACGGTTTAGTGATTGCCTCTGCTGACACCATTCCTGTTCTGGACAAGAGGTATTTCCACAGCAGCTCGGGGTAGATAATGCTCGACTCTTTCTGTTTCTGAAGAACAAGAGGAGCGCCCATGGAGGATCCTGCGGTGGAAATGAAGGTGCGAGCAGCCCAGGGCCAACCTCTGCAGATCACTGAACCCACAGCCTTGCAGCAAGGTCACAAAAAGTTTTGTGACAAAGAATTTTTCACAGGCCATAAAAACATCACAAGCCCCTCTCCTGTGTCTCTCTTGTATATCCAGCGATGGTCTCAGGTACCAAGTGTTTGAAGCAATCAATTATGATCGCCAGTTTGGGTGGCTTTTTTTTTTCTTTAAATTTATTCACAATTCCCTTTCTCCATTGCTGACTTCACCTCATCTAGAGATCCCTCTGCTGGTATCACATCATCTGAAAACAGAAAGGTTGTTGAGGACCAGTCAGCGCCACCCCTCACTCTCCGGAGGAAAACAGAGCCCCCCCCCCTGCCCCGGGCCAGACGGTCTGACGTCAGGGTGGGCCAGAGCATCAGGCCTGGTTTCAGTTCCCATTGAGGAGAGCAGGTGGGGGCCTTGCCAGTCAGCACCCATGTTAATGACGGAGAGCTGGCTCTCCTGGCCCCTTAACCTTAGCTGCTTAACCTTAGCTGCTTGTTGGAGTTACCTGGGCAGTCTTACAAATAGGGACACCTGGTCCCACCCCCAGGATTCTGATTTGCTGGGTCTGCAGAAGCTCCCGGCGATTCTAAGTATAGCCAACTTTGGAAACCACTGCTTAAAGCCCATTGAACTGAGCTTGCTCGAGGGAGGCTGCTGTCTGTGGAGGATCCTCCCATGAGTGACACGTGGGCCAGGGAGGGTCTGGATTCAACTCCTCGATTTTCACAACAGAACATTAATTCTGTCTTCCCACAAGCTGGTCTTTAAAGCATGTGAATCTAGACCTAATTCACAATATAAAATCTTTGTATTGGAGGCTCCAAGCATTTTGCTTTGGTTTCTGGTTTTGGATTATGTTTCAGCCTGTCCATTCCAAGTGAAAAGGAAATAAAGATGGGTTGTCTGGCGCCCATGCGGAGCTTGGTGGCTTCAAATTCAAGACAGAATAAGTAGAAATAAGTAGAAAAGGTCTGTTTGAGATGCTTTAGAAGTGAATATCGATTTTGCTTATGTTGGCAAAGGAATTCTCCCTTTTCCCCCTTTCCTCATCCTTCCAGGGAGCCATCCCTTTAACTGTGTCCAGTAAAGCCTTAATCCCAAAGACCTGGAAAACGCTGGAAGTCTGTGTCAGCCCTGGGTGATGCAATGATAAATCTGCAGAGAAAGCAACAAGGTAGTTTTAAAACAGCAATAGTCCATATTTACTCTAAAATGCCTGTACGTGGGCGCCTGGTTGACTCAGTTGGTTAAGCGTTTGCCTTTAACTCAGGTCATGATCCCAGAGTCCTGGGATTGAGCCCCGCATTAGGCCCCCTGCTCACAGGGAGCCTGCTTCTCTCTCTCCCTCTGCCTCTCCCCCCTGCTTGTGCTTGCTCTCTCTCTCTCTCAAATAAAAAAATAAAATCTAAAAAAAATAAATAAATAAAATGCCTGTATTTTGGTTTATTTCCACTAGCTAATATTCTTCAAAAATCCCTTTTAAGAAAATTATAATTTTTTTTTCTAACAGATCATCAAGTCAGGACTCTCTGTTGATTGGTTATGTCACTCCTTTCTACAGGGTGGAAGGTAGAGCCTGCTTGAGGTCCAGCCTTGAGGCTGAGGGAGCTTGGGGAAATGACTCAGCATCTGTCTCAGGACCTCAGGGTCCCTTCCAGTGACTTGGGATACTATCTGCCTGATAACTAGGTTGGGACGGAGTATCTAAACCAGCCCTGTTCAGAAGAACTTTCTGTACTGATGGAGATGCACTGTCCAGTACGATGGCCACCAGACCAGTGCAAAATGTGGCTAATGTGACTATAGAGCTGGGTTTTTTATTTTATTTCATTTTAATT